TTCACGTAAATAACATATAAATAAATACTAAATTTATCTTAAAGTAGATGATTGAATTAATTAGATTGACAAATTTATTAATTTATTTATTTTAATAAAAATTTAAAAATTTAATAAAAAATTTAAAATGGATTGAAGATTTAATATAAAATTTTACCTCTATTTAAATTATAAACATTAATAAAAAAACTACGTTGCATCTTTTTGTAAAATTTTATTATTATTAATATTCAATAAATCATTCCCAATGTGTAAGAGGATAAGGTTCATAGCCTGAGTGCAGGTTTCAATAGCCATTGACTATCATTGCCCACATTTGACCGACGGGAATTCCCTCTAATATCTTAAGTTGGAAGACGATGACTTATGACATGCTACCTGCTCACCTGGAAAGTTTAACTTCTTGCTTAATTAGAAGTCGAGTCTTTGACCCTTAAACACGTCGTAATAATTAATTAAGAATTTAAAATTTCGACTCTTTATATTAAAGATTTGGTTAAATCTTACATTTTGTTCTTAATTATTATACAGAACCTTTGATCTGATTTTTGAATTAAAATTTTTTTTAATTTGATCTTTAAAATTTTTAAATTTAATTCTAAATTAGTTATTTATTCAAAAATAATTGATATATTTTGTTACTTACATAACACATGGTTATCCAATAACAACCTTCTACTGTGAAGAAATGGATAGGTTAGTTGTCTTTTAATGGAGAAACAAACTTGGAATTAAATTTAAAAATTCTAGAGATTAAATTAAAAATTTTTTTAGTTTAAAAACGAATTTAAGAATTTATACAATAGTTGAAAAACCAAGTTGAGGGTTTAACCTAAAGATTTTGATTTTAAAATTTAAAATTGATGAAAGAAAATTTAAAAAGAGAATAATTATTTTACTATATAATTTATTATCTAAAATATTGAAGAGATTAATGTTTATTAGCTGAACCTATAAAATTAGGTGAAAAATATTTAAAAACTAAATAAAGTACTATAAGAAAAAACTGAATAAGATACTATAAGAAAAAACTAAAACATTATCATCCTTATTTTAAAAACAATTAAGATATTATATTCTTTATTTAATAGACTTGTATTAAAACTATGTAATTTGAGAATATTTTTCTATCTAATTTTTTGTAATATAGGTTTATATATAATTTTTTAAATACTAAAAAGTAAATTTATAAAGTAATTTTAAAAGTTAAATTTATTAATAAATTAGTATTTCATTATAAGTAAAGTTTAAAAATCAAGTTTAGTAACTAGTATCTAAAAACAAATCACTTATTTAAATGTCCTAACTGATGGAAGGGAATCCGCAATTGACTGTGGGCAAAAATCTATTTTTGGCTTTTTACCTTATCATGTTTTGTAGGTTTTAGTCCTTTATCTCATCTCATGACACTTTTAACCCCTCAACTATTAGAATTAAAAAAAATAATTCTCACTTTATAATATTTTGTTAATTCTGTTACTTGACTGTTAACTCTAGTAGCTAACTGTTAACTATGTTAGCTGAAAGTAAGTTTTTACCAACTAACAATCAGTTAATAGAGATAACAGTTATCTAACATAATAGTTCTGTTAACTGACTATTAATTTTATTAGCTAAAAATAAGTTTTTGTCAACTAACAGTCAGTTAATAATTAGCTAATAGAGTTAACAGAATTAACAAAATGTTATAAGTGAAAGCTATTTTCTTTAATTCTAATAGGTGATGAGCTAAAAGTCTAATAGTATAAGGTGAGAAATTTAAACCTATAAATCTAAAAGGATAAAGGCGCTAAAATATGCTTTTGCCTTGACTGTGCTCTTAAGATTTTGGAGGATAACTTTAATAAATTGTCTATTAACTATGTGGTTTATTTCAATTTAATCTAAAAACAATTTTTTCTTTCATAATGATTTATAAACCATCAATTTTGTTTCAAAATGATCTATTTAACAAACATTCCGTTAACTAGACTAAC